ATAATTATATTTAGTACCTCTATAGAACTGGCTATGTTCAGACATTCCTCCATTCCAGGAATTTCCAACTGAAGAACCAGCAGGTCCTTACATTTAATGGTGATAGTACCAGAGGATCCCACAGCCCTGTATCAGACACACGTACAAACACCCCCACCCATGTTTAAGTATATTCCTCCATGTTTTCTCACACTCTCAAATTCCATACAATCATCTCCATTGGGGCCTCAGAAGAGACGGAAGCAGGAAGCAAAAACAAGCCATGAGCGTAAGGCTAGCAGAGACAATGAGATAAATTGCAGAGGTATGACTGAGCTCTAAATACAATTTTAATAGAGTGTAAGCTAACAGTCTCTCTTGTTGTATCTCCATATTTGTACATTAGATTACAAACACAAATATTTATATATAGCACTACATGTACATAAATACTGCGGCTTTGCATGTAATCAAAACACAGAAAGCATGTGAGATATATGTTGCGTAAATGCTCATTGCAAAGCACAAAGATCTTGCAAAATACATTTTTTTCTGTTTTCTTCTCTGCCTTAAGCTAAGAATACATTGCCAAGCAGCTCATTTTAGAAGATGCCTTCTTATTCGGACATAAGATGCTGCCCACCGCCACTTCTCTCCTCATTTTTAACATTACAGAATAAATCCCAGATCCCAGATCAGAATAAAATGACAGCTTCAATGAGCAATAACAGTCAATCCACAAATCAAACATTGGGCCTTCTTTAGAAGTGTACCTGGGGTATCCGAAAAGATTCTCGACACTGACACAAAGGAAAAGTGATTGGAGAAATTAGAGAAAGACAGAATTCGTTTATTATTACAGAAGCAGGTCTCTTCAGGGATCAAACACACACACAATAAGTTTAACTTTACTTGGTAATTATGACCCAATTAAGATTCAAAAGTAGACACATGGATGAATAAGAATGTGAATTATGCATTTACCAACAACAGTGATCAACAATATACACATCAATAAAAAAAAAAATCCTGCTGAAACAAATGTACTTGATATGGTAAAATCTAAATTAATAGATTTTCTTTAAGTCAAAAATATTATTTAACACCACTGAATCAACTTAAATACATTTGGTTACACAAACAAAACTAAATTTAAGTTTTAGCTCAGGTACAAATAGCTCTGTAGAGCAACAACTGCAAGATGCAACTATTTAAAATGTAATTTAAGCTGGTCTTAATTGGTTTAAGATTGGCTCCTCTGCTGACCTGCAGGGGCTTCAGGGCACTGGTTAGTCTGGGTGACCAGCTTAAACCAGCCAGCTTGGCCATGCTGGAAGACCATCTTAAACCAGATAAAACCAACAAACCATCTTAGGCTGGTTTATGGACATTTTTCCAGCAGGGTATAATTACGGTCGCCTAGTATTACAGCACACACACACATGCACTGGTCAAACCTCCAGAACTCCAGCTGATGAGAACAGCTGTCTCTCTACCTTTTCTCAATGGCATCGATGTTCTTGAGGAGAATGAGGAGTTGCCAGGAAGCTTCATCCTTTCTGTCTGAGAACAGAAGGTGGTGGCTGGTAACGCACAGGGTTCCCCTGAGCGCTGGATGGAAAGGTCTTCTCAGGGTAACATCTTCAACATTAGCGGTCTTGATGTGCTCTGACAACTCCATTTCACAACGACAACAACCACCATCTGGTACTTCTCTAGCTGAGTTTAGAGAGTTAGTGGGCGAGCCACACGAGTCTGTCTGTCTGTCTTCCGCAGATATTATAAGTAATCCTCTACAAAACTGTGTCCCACCCCTTGATATTAATTTGGGCTGTTTTAAACTCACCGGCAGCTAGTAAATATAAGACGCCACTAAGCGACTCTGCGCGAGCGACGGGAGGTGTGTCTGCTGAGCTCGCGCGATTCTTTAGCATTTTGTTGGCTTCTCTATACTTTCATTTCCGTTCACACTCTTGAAGTCCCAGCCCTCTTCTCTTTTTTTGTGATTTTTTTGGTTTGTTTATTGTTGTGTGTGTTTGTTTTTCTCCATAGTCTTTCGTTATCACTTTTCCTGACATTTCAGAGTAGTAGAATTACAAAATACAGGCCAGAAGGAGTCTGCTTTAGCCTATTCAGGTAACACATGGGATAGAAAA